TCCGCAGTGCTGAGGCTGGAAAACAATGCATATATATTTTTTGCTGATCCAAGTCCTTAGTAATTACACTTAATAGATCCCAGAGGGATTCCTAGGTAACCTGCACTATGGTTTCCATGGCAGAGAGACAGAGCTTGTACCCTGCGATAACACATAATAATGGATTGTTAATGCTTAAATTAATTATGCTACAATTGTATTTGTAAACCAGCTGTCCCTCGTATTCCCAGTAAGACTCTTGAGTTGCTACACAACAGCTAAGGGATAAAAACAAACAAGACGGAGGGGCAGAAGTGGTGGAGCTCGGCTGCAGCCACCATCAGAGCTGCCGCGTCCCAAAACCCACAGACTGGAGGAAACCTTCGCTCGTTACTTCTACAGCTACAATTAGTGCCATTAGTCCTGTGCCAGAACAAGGGGTTATTCACATTTCAGTGTTTCCATGGGTTTGGGGCTAGATTCCATCTCTCTAAACTTCGGAGGGAATCTTAGAAGTCCCAGGAGACTATCCCTGTTGATAGAGAAGGACCCTTTCCCTTAGCTGATACTGACACTGCCCATCCCTGGCAAATGTTTTCCTCCTCCTATACAGGAGTCCAGGGATCTTATTATAAAAAAATAAAAATACAAAACCAATCCCAGCCCCAGAGTTGCCTTGTTTTGCTGATGAAATTTGCCGTTGCCCAGCGTGCTGGATGATGCTCAGGCGCACCAGAGCTTTGATTGAATTTTTCCTTTCCTGGAGCCAGGCTGGTAACGGTGCTGGGTGGAATTCGTCTCACGTCACTGGGTCTTACAGACAGCCTAGATGGTTAGCGCAGACTAGATGTCTAACATTTAGACAGCTAAAATTGGGCGAGAGGACGCTGCCAACTGGCGTCTGCTTCCCAGTAAAGCAGGTTCTGGACTTGCGGGCACCGCGCTGGGAGGCAGCAACGGCGTTTCGCAGCCGAGCCCCGGCTCCTGAGTGACAGGCAGGGTAGTTTAAACAAATCTCCGCAGTTCCTGACGGCCTGCTTTGCCACTACTATTTCAGGGCTAAAGAGAGTGTTGTAGCTTTTTTTTTTTTTAAAAAAAAAAAAAAAAGAGAAAAGATAAAAAAGGCTTCGCGTGCTGCTTGCTGTCTGTGACACACAAACCCCAGGCTGGGAAAAATCAGCTCAACCTCTGGCTTTCTAGCACCCCAGAGCCTGCGATACCGCTGGCCTCGGGGGTTTCTTTGGGCTTTTCTAAGTCTCAAGAAAGCCAAAGATGAGATAAATCCCCACCGAACTACTAAGGCAACATGCAAAGTTGCAAATCAAGGGCTATTTCTCTTTCTAAAGGTGGGTGGCTGAGGATAGAGGGCTAGCGTGTGGTGTGAAGAGTTGTAAAAGCTGCTAATTCTCAAATGCTGGCTGTAGCTGCAGTAAAAGGGAGTTCACTGACCTATTGCCAGGCTGGGCTCAGCAAAACATCTCTTCCAAAGCACAAACCCAGAAGTGATTCATCTTCTGCCCGGGCACTGAGCAGGAATCACTTCTTAGAAACAGATGACACATATCCCAGGACATCCTTGCCATCAAAGGGGAGAAGGGCAAGCGTTTCCTCTGAGCAGAGGTTAAGGCACAAAGACCTTACAAGTTAGAAATAAGCCAGACATAAGCATTTAGAAGTGCAGCAGGATTTGTAATTGGAGCTAAAACAGAAGCTTCGGAGTCGCAAAGCTGCTTATCCCACCAGCTGCCACAGGCAGGGCTCCAGCCCCTGCTAAGACACGCCGGCGTCTCACCGGGGGGAGCAGCCCTACCTGCAATCACTGCGTGGAGAGCCCTTCCTGGAGCCAGCGTGGGGAAAAAGGGTGTTAAAAAGAGGGAACTGTAAAAAAAGAAGCAGAATTTGTAGGTTGTCAGACGGTCGGATTTGAGCTGCTGGGTTTGCAGAGACCCCTGCTGGGTCATCACCCTGTTTCTGGGATGCTTTTTGCTGGCAGATGTGGAAAACTCCCCATGGGCAGTGGCAAAGCAGGCACTTTTCTCCTGCCTCTGCATTGAAGAGGGGATGCGGGATGCGAAAAGGGGCAGGCTGAACAGGGGGCTGAGCAAAACAATCATCCGTGGGAATCCAGCTGATGATGATGATGCTGAGGTGCACGTTGACTCCCCCCCCGTTTTTCTAGATGAGGGCACAACTGTGATGTAGTGATGTATAAATAAAGGGTGTGCTCCCTCCCTGGACACCATCCCACCAGCATCCTCTGATCACAAGTACCAGAGGGTTGTGATTTCGGTCTGTCCATCCCAAAGTGTCCATCTTGGTGAGGGTAAAGCTCAAACAGTGGGGAATTAAGAGGCGGTCAGTCCTGCTCTATACCTTTTGCCAGGGAGGAGAAAGCAGCCTCTAGATGATCCTGGGCTCAGGTGTACAACTTTGCCTCCTTCACTGTATGGAAACAATCTAGTAGCCTGGGCAGAGCGGGGGCAGGAATGGCAGCTGCTTCTTTGGCAGGGGAAATCAAATGGCGAGCGGACCCAGTGCCAGTGAGAGCAGTGAAGTCCTTCCCCTGGCTGCGAGGTGGAGGGAACCAAACCCATTTTGTGTCTCCGTGGTGCCCTGCCAACAGAAACAATGACAGTGATAATCGCTCACAATCTGTTATTACATTAACACCAGCTCAAAAAAAATCGTAAAACCCAATAATCTTTTGAAATGAAGCTAACCCCCCCCCCCCATCTCCTTCAATGTAAATAACACACCGCATCGCCGCGCTTGGCAGCGACAGGGAAAGTGGGGAGGGAAGCGGGGGGAGAGGAGTGGCAACAGGGGGATGGTTTCTGCTTTTGAGAGGCTTTGCGTGGTGCAGGCGGAGAGATTTGCTGGAAGCAGCCAGGCGTGGATACCTGGCTGCCAGGAGAGGCTCTCCGCAATCCCTCCCTTTGGTTGGCTTCCTTTGACCCTGTTGCTAAGCTACAAATATGCCTTTCCAGCAAGCTCCAGCATCCTCGCTCCCACCCACTCCCAAATGCGAACTGAATCAGCCTGCTCAGAAGAGAAACCATCTCTGGCCAGCAAGGAGCTTTTTTTTCTTTTTTTTTTTGCTTTTTTTTTTTTTTCCTCCAGCAGCTCTGCAGAGCCAAACCAGGACTTGCTCAGAAAGGGCACCCACCCCTGCCCCCTGTGCCAACCCAAGGGCTGTGGGGGCTTTAAGTGAGGAGGATGGGAGCCCAGAGAAAAGCGTTTCTACCGCTCCAGGCGCTGGGAGCTGGCACAGCTCCCTTGCTGCAAGAATAGACGAGGATACCAGCTACTCCGAGAAATAGCTACCACCTACCTGCACACACGCCTGCTCGCCCTGACGCCAGCCACGTTAACGCTTTAGGACAGCAAAGGCTGCGTGGCAGGGACGAGGTGGCAGGGGGGATGTTTTTCTGACCGATGCTCTGCAGAAAGATGGGTTGGAGGCTTTGCCTGCAGTCCCGACGCCGAGCGGTCTCTTCCCATCCTTCCTGGGATGCTACTAGGGTCCAACACAAGTTGCCTGGGCTGCCTTTGTGCTCAGTGGAAAGTAATGGGTGCTTCTGGGACTCAACCTCAACCCCCTAGGGTGGGTGTCTGACGTGGGCCAGCTGCCCACGGTGAGAGATGCTGCAATAGTCCACATTGCAGCACAATGACTCCACGTAGTCCCTGGGAGCTTAATTTGATCCATGTGAACCTCAGGAAAGGAGCTTTCCCAAAATGTTACCTTAACAGAGACCACCATGTGCTGCCCTGACTTTTCCCCTTCTCAAGATACCTGTACAAGCCATCGTGTTTATGGGGGAACGTCCTTTGAAGACTCCTCCAAACCATCCCCAAACAACTAAATGATCCAATAGAATATTATTTCTTTTTTTTTTTTCCTTTTCATTGGTCCAAGTCACAGGCGACAGGACGAGAGGAAATGGCCTCAAGTTGCGCCAGGGGAGGTTCAGGCTGGATATTAGGAAAAATTTTTTCACTGAAGGGTCATCAGCCATTGGAATGGGCTGCCCAGGGAGGTGGTTGAGGCACCATCCCTGGAGGTGTTCAAAAGACAAGTTGACGTAGTGCTGGGAGGTATGGTTTAGTGATAGTGATGCTTCTTGTTTGATGTGCGGGTGTCTATTTTTGTCAGTTAGGTTGACGGTTGGACAAGATGATCTTTGAGATCCCTTCCAACCTAGAAGATTCTGTGATTCTGTAAGCAACCAATTTTAGTTATTCTTTTAAGGCCAGATTTCCTGTGTGCACGCCACGGGGGAGCCCGTAAGCAACTCTTGTCTTAATCAATGGCTCGGGTGGGTTTGCACCCAGGTGTCTGCTTGGCAGATCCTGGGTCTGGAGCTCACGTTGGGACTTACCTGCCGTTCGCGCTGACACACGACCATAAACAGAGTCTGCCCCAGGGACTTTGCAGGTCTGTTGAAGCAAGTGGATGGAGAGTAAGTGTTGAGGCAGCTCGGAAAAGCAGGAGTCTGGCAGCTTTGCTGTCACTCGGGCACACAAGGGACAGTGCTGCCCGGGATGCTGCTGGCCCCAAGAAAGCCTTGGGCTCTGGGTCAATGTGGGGAGGGAGCAAAGGGGATCCTGGCAGAGCCTGGCTCATTTTGTTGGTAGAACAGGAGAGGGATTTTGTCCCCCTTTGCAGAGTCAGAGGGCTGCCTTGGGAGGACGCTGTTCTTAGATGGAAGAGCCAGGAGTGACCTGCTTATTGTCACAGGGATGGAGGCAACAGACCTGGGTTTAGTCTCTGCTTCTGCTGTTTGCTCACCCCTGAGGAGCAAATCTTTATTCACCCCATCCTCAGGAAGGCAGCAGCCTGCAACAATTCAGCGAGGGTTACCAAGCGCTTTGGGGTCGTTGGCTGGAGGCTGTAAATGGGCCATTTGGGGTCCACTCACCTGCAGACCCCCCCCGACCTTCGGTGTTGCGGACCCAGCACAACCTTCGACAGTCTTTCAATTCACCTTCTAACTCCTCTCCTTCTCTTTCTCTTCCAGGGCTCAGCTCCTATCCTGGTAGTCATGGTGATCTTACTAAATATTGGAGTCGCCATTTTGTTTATTAACTTTTTCATCTAAATCAAGACTGTCTTGTTTGCAAAAATAACAGTTACATGTATGAATGGGGGAAAAAAAAAACAAAAACAACAAACCAAACAACAACAACAAAAAGGGAAAAAAAAAATCATAACTCGAACTGTCCTACGACAATTTCCAAGTCTTTTCACAGAAGAACAACAAACGATCGAGTCTCACTCACAGTTTGCCTTTTTTCCTGGGTAATGTTTTTTGGATTTTAGCCAAAATTCTTTGCTTGTATAACACTATGCTGTGTGGCATGGCAAAATGCTATCAACACTCTGCCCCCCCAACACTGGAAAGGATGAGAAGGAATCTCAACAAAATAAAACCTCATTTCCCTTTCCCCTCACTCCTAAAAAAATATATTCGTAACAACGGTAATGAACCCCAAAATGGAGACCAGATGAGGGGACCACGGGGAGAGTTTGTTTGAAGTATGTACGGGTCCTGGGATGCTCCAGGTTGAGCTTCCCAGGGAAGTCCACAACAGCTTTAACGATAGAGTAAATGGGAGAGAAAAGCGAAATCAGGCTTTCCTTCCTTCTCCCTTCGCAGAAGGAGAAACGTTGCTGTGAGGAGGAGGAGAGGAGGAGCACGGGGAAGGCACGAACCCCGTCTAGATGTGAAAGATGGGAGAAAGGCGACGGGCCCCATTTTGTGATTTGTTTTTCTTAAAACAAAGCAGCAATTGGTGTTTTGCTAAATTTCTTGGGGCGGGGGGTGGGGGGAGGAACAGGGAACACAAGGTGCGAGCAGCAGCCCCACCACCCTCCTGCCTTCACTCCTCCTCCCCGGGCTGCTCCCCCGACACACCGTGGCAAGGCTGGAAAACCACCCAGTGCTACTTTTAATTCACGGCCAATTTCTCCTGGGTAAAAAAGTGTACCCGGATTCTCCCCCTCCCCCCAAAAAAAACCAAACCACAACCGGTGTACCCGGATTCTATCCCCCCTCCCCCCCAAAAAAAAACCAAACCACAACCAAACCTTGCAGGCACCTTCAGCAACACGAATGGAGTAGCTGCTGGTCATCGTGCCGTGCTCACCAACACGCGAGGAGCAGCCTTACTTGAGCATCCCATCCCAAAACATGCATGCACAGAGATGCCGGGGAGCAGACTGGTGGGGAGGGACCGGGGAGAGAGGGCTCAACTCTGATCCACTTAGGATACAATAAAGCGAAATAAAGCAAAATCAGAGGAAAATGGTTTTTCAAAGGCATCTGGGGAGGAGCACTGGAGCATGTCCCAGAGAGGAGGGAGAGGGTGGTGGGTTTGTCTCTTACATCTTGCTGTGGACTGTTTCAGACATCATGCTTGGGCTCTGAGCATGTAGTATTTTGCACTTTGTAATGCAGGATGTATATTCCAGCTTCCAACATGTCCCTGTAAAAAAACAAAAAAAAAAAAAAAAAAAAAAAAAAAAAAAAAAAGGAAAAACAAAAAACCAAACATCATTGGCAATGGCAGCCTCTAAGGATGTATTCTTTTCTTTTTTTTTTTTTTTCTATGTCACTTAATTTGTTCGTTTATACCATCTTTGTAATATGCCTGCCTTGATTTTCTCCCCTCCCCTGTCCCCACTGATAATATGCATACTCATTAAAGATGCCGTATCCCTGTTCTGAGCTGTTATGGTCCCAATCACCAGCGTGTGGTCTTAGCTCGATCGCTTGGAAATGACCGACGTCCCTTCGCTTCTCAAAAAAAAAAACACCCCACTGTACTGTTCCCCCCCCTCCCCGTGCCATCCTTCCCCACCACGGAGATTGGCTTTGCCGGTAACCCACCACCACCAGGTATGGTTCAAATGGTTTTCGTTTGGGATTTGGTACATCCAGGGACCAAATTCCACCCTCAGTTCGACCCACTGCAGCTCCATTCAACAGGAGGAAAGGGGTGGGGGGGAGCGTGGCAGGAATCTGGGGGTGGGATGAAACCCACAGACGGAAATATCTGGGGGGGGACACGGGGGAGGAGGGAAAAAATCCTCCTCGCCATTTCACATCCAGAGTTGTTGGGTACAGCCCTGACTTGTGGACTCAGCTTTGCTTTGCTTCTGTTTTAGCTGTTTCTCTGCTACCTTTTCAGCAGATTTCTTATTACACTGCACTGGATTGCTATATTTTTAACCAGAAATAAACTAAGGATTAGAGCATGTGCCAGTTAAATTCAGTTCTTTTTCCTTACATGGTCTTATTCCCTCCTGTCGCAGTTTTTCTTCCGCTTTTTCTTCCTTTCCCTTTTCAGGCAGAGGCTATGGGTGCACAGGGTAAATGATAACTGAAGGCAGCGAGACCCCAGTAACTTTTTTTATTTCATTTTCCACGGTAACTGTCCATCATTTTTGTACCTTTTTTTTTCTTTTTAGGTCCCTAGTCATCTTTTTTACTCAAGTGGTTGCTGCACACTTGAAATGAACCAAATAAGGCCCTATTGTGATTGCAGCCCTAGGAACTCATCCCTGTGCTTTGTAATTCTGGTTGCAACCCTTTGGAAAGACTCTCCAGGACTTTTTTCTTTTTTTTGAGTACGTTGGAGTGTGTGACACAAAGGTCCCAGCCAGGAGCAGGTTAAACAGTTACCGGCAAACACAGTACGATATTTGGATATATATATAAAACAGCACAAAAATGCCTCTCGTTATCCATCAAATAAAAGTACTAGTGATTTCATGACTAGCTTTTTCACCCTGGTGACCAACTGGTTACTCCTGCCCTTGCCCAGGTACCCACAGTTATGCCCAGACACAAATTCCACTCGGATTTTCCATCACTTTGTTCCACAGGATAAAACCTCAGTCGGGCTGAGCTCTGTTCAGCATAGAAGATACCCAGAGACTAATATTAATCGGCTCCCAAACCACATGTTTAAAAATAATGATTCCTTTATTAATCACGGGGAGCTGAGCAATTTGTCTTAGTCCTGGGCTTTTTCACATTTGCCCAAGGCCAGAAATATTCTTGAGAAGTGGCCCGGAGAGGGAGGTAATTCAGTACATTTCCCTGTCTTATGAGCCCTGGATTCCTGCATATCTACTTAAGGCATATTAAAATGTCTATCACCGTGGTATATAAATCTATGTAAATTGTCCTTACCTGCTGGTTTATGTCCACGCCGACAGCTGAAGGTTTATATTATTATTTTTAGGGGGTGGGGGGGCTACGATGGTATTTTTTACGTTCCTACAGCTGAACACGCAGCACCTGAAACACACGGAGGGGTTGGGGCTTGAGGAACCAGCCCCCTTCTGTAAAGCACCAGGAAAAGGACACGTGTGTCCCTCCCCAGGGACACCCAGGTCCTCTGGCCAGTCCCCCCTCCTCTCCCAACCTGTGCGAGCGACCGGCTGGTTTGACACCACGTCTTTGGGGACAGCAAGAAGGAAGAAACACAAAACCCCTCCGCCTGCCGCTGCCACGTCAGCTTCTCACCAGCCCATCTGGCATCTGGTTCGCTTGTACCCGAGACCTAGATTCTCCAGAGGACTCTCCAGGGCCCGATCTTTCAGAGACAAGGAGCTGTTGCAGCATCTATTTACCTTGTGCGGAGCCATGAAGCCTCAGTAGCACTGGGGGAAAAAAAAAAGAAAACCCATAAAAAAAAAAAAAAAATTCAGGCTGCAACAGAAGGGGAGGGGCAAGAGGAGAAATAATGTCATTGCGATGATGAAGGGCTTAATTGAAACCCAAGGATTGATTAATTAGATGTCCCGACAGGCTTTGGCAAGTTGAGGGAGGATGGAAAAGTAGGAATTTTTTAAAGCTGTCATAAGGCGAGGTTGGCTGCAGAGATTTGTGCTAAAGCAGAAGAGAGCAGAGGCCGGGCTGGATCTCCTGCACGTGGGTAAGTCGTTCACACAGAAGAAGAGCATTGCAGACTCTTGGCATGGGGACGAGTTCTTCCTGGTGTAGGGGAACAGGTCAACTCCTTGCACAGCCCCTGAATGAATGGCATCCATCACGTTGTCACCCATCACTGACCCTCATGGAGAGGCTCCCTGCCCAGCTCTGCCCTGAGCTCAGAGCTCCAACCGTCGCAGAAGACAACTCCGAGCACACCAAGCACTAGATACATGGCTTTTGAGTAAGATCCACCAGGACCACACTTCCCTCAGAGGCATTTCAAGCTCCTGAGTTCCTTCTGTTGCTGTGTTTTGACTAATATCATCTCATAGGCAATTGGTTTCAGCACTGCCACCAACCTGCTCTTCCAGGGTATGTGTAATCAGCTAATTACCACGCTGAACCTGGGAGTTTCAACAGCAATGAACCCCTGAGGGTACTCATCAGTGCCCAGAAGTCTGCATGTGTAACTTGGACACATTGTGAGCTGCGTCCCTTCAGAGGTACCTCAGAGGTCACACTCCACAGCATTACAGGAAACGGCACTTTGTAGATGTTGAGAGGTGCCAAGCATTGCCCAGAAGTTTGTGTTGGATGGTTGGCTTAGAAACGCTGTGGTGGGTTCCACATTCCTGTCTGGAGGCATCAGGAGAAGATAAACATTCATGCTCAGGTGTCATTTGCTCCACTCCACCGCCACCCAGCAGACTCACAATCCTTATCATCTGCCTAGCTCCTTTTAGCCCCAGTTTGGGTACACTGTTAACAACATTGATGGTTTAGCATGGCTCAGACTCACTCGTTTTACAGCGATAAGAACACCAACACCCAACCCCTTACCTCCTCCCCAAGAGCAGCTGCCCCCACCCCAGCACCAGCTGCATTTTGGTATCACTTGGTCTTGTTGGAAGGGAGAGCTGTGAGAATGACTCCTGGGAGCAGGAGGAGCATCGCTCCTCAGCCCCTTCAGTATGGAACACGTTTCAAAGCTCTTTTTCTTGCTCACCGTTCAGTAACTGTGGGTTAGTGATGAGGGATGCTGCAGCTGTTGGACCAACAGCTGTTTCCCAGCTAAAGCATTTGATGTGCTCCTGTCCCCGGTCCCCGTCCCTCGGAGACCTGCTCTTAAGAACACGTGTCTTCAGCCTGTCTCTCTGAGACACAATGTGCTCAGGGCTGTTTAGAAGTGGTTGGACCCACCCAACAAGAAAGCAGAAGCCTTGCTGATAGAAAACAAGACGGTGAATGAAGCTCTCCATCAAACACAGTTTTTATCTTGACAATTAAATCACATTGGCAGCCTGCTCTATTTAATCTTTATCGCATTCTAATTAGCCCTGCAGAACCTAGCACTGCTCTCCTGAGAGCTGGTTCCCTGGTGGTGCCCCCGTCAAAACAATACCCAGGGCACCCTGGATTTATCTGCATGAGGACAGCCAGTGCCTTCTGGTGTCACCCCAAGTCATCACTTGTTTGCTGCAGCAGACACACTTGTATCCCATCTGTTGTCCCTACGGACCACAGCACTGCTCTGCCGGAAAGAAAGCGATGCCTTGAGGAGAGGAAAAAGGGGTAAAAAAGAAAAAAAAAAATCCTTTGAGAGTGTCAACCCACTCTCTCCTGTCCTCAACACGCCATCAGGTCTCAAGGTAGGACGTTTCACTAGTTCTCAGGAGTTCACTTGTAGGACAACCACCTTCTTGGCCAACGTGCAAGAAACTGAATTGGGAGATTCCACAAGCAAAGGCAAAACCTGCTGCAGGTAACATTAAAAAGGAAGAGACTTCTGTTAACATGCATCAGGGGTTACAGTGGCTCTTGTACAAGTAAGGTGTGAAAGGATTCCAAGGTTTCTGCAGGCTGTGCAGCCACATCTCAGGAGGGCTGGTGCATCTTACAACCACTACCTGCGCACTTCACAGCAGGAACAGCAATCCCTCTTCCACAGTAGGAGAAAAGGAAGCAGAAAAGCTAGGATGGGATTAATTGAGAAAACCAAGATGATTGTAACCAAATAAGTTTATTGTAGAAACCCTTGGGAGACATACTGTGGCCCCGGTCAG